GGGGGGGGGGGCTACCTTGTTCTGTAAACAAGGAAGCACACATTGAACCGCAAGGTCCAACGTTCCGGGTTTAGGGCTTAGAGCTTTAAGGTGCAGAGCGTAATGGTTTGTAATGAATGTGTAAGATAGGAATCCGCATTTTGCTGATACCAAACATTACTTTGAGTTCTTTGGACGGGATGCATCTAATAAACCATAAACCCTCAACCATAAACCCTAAACGCAAACTCGGACCCAAACCCTAAACCCTAGTGTTTCAGTTTCAGCTCGAAAGCCAATGGCTATGAGGACTCCAGCAGCTTCAGAGCCCGCGCTGGGCGGATGCGCTTGCCTCAAGTTTCGGGCTCGGGGGTAACCCTAAGCCCTATATGGGGGTTTCCGAAAATAGGGGACACTAATATGGTACCCTAAATAATAAGATCCGTATTATAAGGACCCCAAAATAAGGTACCCCTTATTTTTCGGAAACTCCCATATAAAGGTTAGACCCTAAACCCTAAAGGCCAAGGATTCACGGGGTTCTCTGTTTTAGGGTCTCTTGCAGGGCCCGTATTCCAAGAGCATCGTACCTTTATGACCTCCAGTTGTGGAGATTCGGGTTTGAGCTTTCGGGTTCGGGATCCGGCTGTGGTTGCTTGCCTGGCAAGGGCAAGGACAAGAGCAAGGGCAAGAGCGGTGCCCACTAACTCTAAGCACCAAACCCTAAACTGTAACGTCGGGAAGTTGTCGGGACTTCCGTGAACTCTAAAGCCAGCCTAACAGCAGATTCTTGCGGCACCGAAAGTAATGGCACTCCCATTCGAAAGGGCTGCTCTCAAAGAATCGCTGATTCATGGGAGTTGTGATTAATGAAGTACTTGGATAACTCTACTTGGTCGGCCCCCGGATCCTCAAAGTATCCCGAATCGGAGGGGCAACTTCGCAGTCCGATATCATATCAGATGATATACATCCGATCGTTTCTCATAATAAAAACTATACTAGACTATAATATAACATATTATTAGACCATAAAAATTATACGAAAATCAGGCTAAGGGTTGATTCGGATGTCCGGAGTATGGCTTCGAACGGCTGGGGCTGAGACATGATCCCCTGGGTTTGGGGCTCAAGCCGACAAGCTAGCGCTTAGGGCATAGAGCTAAGAGTTTCGAAGTCAGAACCCAGAGATGTATAGCATAACTATATAACTATTCTAGAACCCCTATGAATAAAAAAAGAACCCCTATGAAAGAAAGCCTGGATCGGCTTAAGCTATCAACTTTCAGATTGTCTTCTGAGGGTGTGGTGCGGCAAGTGCCGCAGCTGGCTCAGGAACGTATACTAAGGAGGAGCTTAGGGTTTAACATTTAAAGCTTTAGGGCTTTGGGGTTTGGGGTCTAACTTGCGGCCTTCGGACTTTCTGGGATTATCCTGTGCAGATTTTCTGAGATTCGTGTAGGGCCACCCCTTCTGGGCCTGAATAAGACGAACAGTCTGCTACAGGGTGTTATAAGGGCTACTGGTGACTTGAAGGGGAAAAAATATTGCAAAGACTAGGGTTTGGCGGTTTGGAATGGGTAATGATGGGGAGTTGGCGAGGAGAAAGGAAATACATATGCGAAATACAAAAAGCCCTACCTGACTCACCAGGTTTCCGGAGAGGCTTGGTCAAAGCCCTAAACCCAAGATATAAAACTCTGAATTCTAAATTCTGAGTCCTCAAACCCAAAGCGCAAGCCATAAAAACTCGCCTGGATCCAGGATCAGCATCTTCCGGACAAGCCAGTAGAAAGACCAGCGGATCCGAAGTTGCTCCTGGCTAAAAGATAACTAGGCGATTATCACTGTTAACTTCAGAGAGAAAATACATATATATGTATGTATGTATGTATGTATGTATGTATGTATGTATGTATGTATGTATGTAAAAACTGTGTAGCAGCATCAACACACCCGAAGCCCAGCCCAAAAGCATTCAGGATTCCTTCTGTACAAAGACCTTTTTTGGCGGGATCCCGCCTACCTTCAGCCGACCGTTGGGTGTGGGGTTTACTGTTCAGGATTTGAAGGGCTCGTCTTTTGGATTCCCCCATGAGCCGCATGACCTTCTATGCAGAACCGTACCGACCCCTTGTAAAAAGCGATTCTGTACACACATAGACGCCAAATCAGACATCGTAAAGGAGCCCTCACAACCCCAAAACTCCTAAAGCTTGAACCCCTAAACTCCCGTTGAAGGCAAAATCTGCATAACGCCCTTCGACCCCTTTTAAGATCTCAGCCCTTCTATCGCCCCTTTTTTTCAGGCCCCCCTACACTAAAAACCCCTGAGCCCTAAATCCTGAGCCCTCACTCGAGGTTCCCCAATCTCGCCTTCTGCTGAGCTTCGGCCAAGCGCTTGGGAACCTAAATCTCTTGCGCAACTTCATCCCTGTAGGAAATTGAGAGGATATGATTAGAGTATGTTTTCGTGTGGCTTTCTGGCGTTGTTGGTAGGGTTCTTTCATACAGTATAGCTTTGGCCTTTAGGATACTATGGTCCTTTGGGGACTAACCATTACTCAAGCGTCAGACCTCTCTTTAGAAAACTTAGGGGAGCTGCGGTGTTGAAGCAGGCAAAGGGTTGATTTGTGGGCTTTGAGGGGAAGATACGGTATCTCTAAATTTAATCTCTCTGAAACCCTGAACTGGTGGCTGTAGAAGTCTCCAATTTCCTCAACCTTACGATCCGTACACAAAGGACCCCTTGGCAAAGTACCCCAATGTAGGTTGCGAAAATCATGGATCCTTGTCACGAGGACTCCCACTCATAATTACCACCACTTTCTCCCATGCAGGCCGAGAAACGCCGGCTGCCAAACGGCGCGGGAGGGTGTCGTAGCGCCGCTCCCGAAAGCTCCTACAGGAAGCGCGTGCTGTGATCTGAAAAGCTCGGATAAAAAGCAAAAGAAGAGCAAGCACTAGCCCCCAACCTATTTCCCTAAACCTTAATCCTAAGACCCCTCAAACTTCAATCACTAAACCCTAAAGGCCCTTCACATGTAAACTCTAGCAGCCATCGTCTGTGCCGCTCCTGTACAAGGAGGTGATGGCCTCGTTGCCCTCTGGGTCGCAACGCCGCGACCTGCCGAAACTGCTATGAGGCTGCTGTTCGGGTGTGGGGTTAGAACGGCTGAAGTGCTTGATCAGGGCTCATGAAGTTTATAAGAACCTTAAGAATCTACTGCACACTGGGTCTAGATTTTTGACCTACATGGCAATAGGGTTTGGGGTTCAGGAGTTGGGCGTACAGGGGTTAGGGCGCAGGTCCAACTTCAAAATCACAGCTTCAACACTATTTCTGTACACACATACACATACATACATACATACATACATACCTACCTACCTACCTACCTACCTACCTACCTACCTACGTACGTACGTACGTACGTACGTACGTACGTACGTACGTACGTACGTACGTACATACATACATACATACATACATACATACATACATACATACATACATACATACATACAT